CTTCTTGTTTTAGTTTAGTTTTTATTTTAGGGCAGTTAAAATCCCACTTTATAACTGTATTATTTTGTAACCGCAAATACAGCAAATAGTTTATAAATTATTTGTTAAAACGAAAATTGCATAAAAATCACGCCATAAAAATATATTGAGAAGTCATAAAAAATTACGACAGTTTACATATTAGTTTGAAGTCATAATAATTTTTATAGAATTTCGGTATTAAATGAGCACATATTTAAATTTATCGCATGCAATAAACATTTTATTTGCAATTTGTTATATTTTTACTCAGTGTTAAGCAGTGTTGAATTCTAGAGATCATTGTTGGTGTTAATTCAAAAGTGGGTTAAAAATAAATGGAAACAGGTATAAGCATAAGTACAGTATAATAGTACTTTCGAGATATCACTATATCAGAGAAAAGTAGTCTTTTTACGTCTGGTTTCTTGGAGAATATAGTGGTGTATTTGGCTTCGAATGCTGAATTCAGACAAATATTAACTTTTAGTGAACTTGAGTTTGAGTCGCATTGCAAACGTGTGAGTATGGGTGAGTCTGCTCATGCTCTTATACAATGTTATTTTATAAAATGTGATGGCTTTGCGGAATTAATGCAATTCGTGGGATCACCCCTCGACCATATTTAGTAAAATATATTTCTCAGTATCGCTTTACTCGGCCAGTTCAGACAGAAATTTTATCGCAGTCTTAAAATCTATGTGGCTGATCTTTTAAAGGATTTCTCAAGCAATTCTCATAAGCCAATAAAAGTGTTTTTCAAAAATCCTTTCAGAGATGTTGTGAACGAAAAAAACACGGAAATTGTGCGTGAATTCATTAAAAAGGAGCCGAAATCATCGATTAAATATATGGAATCGGAATTATCAATATCCGCAGCGTCGATTTATCGTATTTTGACAGAAAATTTGGGCCTCAAAAAGGTTTGTGCTCGATTTGTCCCGCACACTTTGAAACCCAAACTTTTTGTATTCGATTGTGACTGGTGACGAAACATGGTGCTTTGAATATGAGCCCGAAACCAAGCGAAAGGAAACCGCTATGCTGACGTTGATGCCATCCAAAAGACGACGACCGCTATCCTCAACGCTATACCGACAAATGACCTAAAAAAGTCATTCGATAACCTTCTTGAACGTGCAAAACGTTGTATTCCGGCGGAAGGAGACTATTTTGAAGGCGACCAATAAATTTTTCCAAAAAAGAACAAATAATATTCGTTTTTTAATAAAAGTCCTGAAATCTTTGAATTACACCTTGTATGCCTTTAAAATTTAATGTTACTGATATGTAAAATAGGAAATATATAAAACAAAAAATTGCAAACATCTCGCTGTATTTTTTTAACTATGCACAAAGCGAGAGAGCGGCTTTTTCAAATGCAACATTGCAATCATGCTCCACACATAAATTGGTATGCACTTACGGCCAACCACGCCACTAAAATTTTTACTTTTTTGCACATTTTATTTACATATTTTAGTTAGTCATTTCAATTTTTTTAAGGCTAGATTTTCAAAAGCCTTAGCCGCAGGCAATTCACTCGACCGCCAATTTTTTTCAACATCCACTTTTGCACTTTTTTTACAGCAACATTGCTTTTTAGCAGATTTTTAGGCGTTCGCGCTTCTTTAGGTAAATTTTTTCTTTATTTTTATGGCTATAGCAAAGCTTTACAAAAAAAAAACAACAATAAAAGAAACTGCGCATTCAAATGAGCGTGGCAGCAAAAAGCTTACAATTTCTATATGAGGCCTGCAAATGGCAAATGATTGGCTGCATGCGGCAACATAAGCTGTAATGAGTGCGAATGGCAGTCACTTGCAGCAGAAGCAGAAATAGCCTTGCAACCAACCGCCGTCGCCACCAGCAATGCCATCAATGCCAAAGCCATACAATATTTCACGGTAACTTGCATTTGCCGCCGACTGCAGGCTGCTGCCTGCCGACTGCCTGCAGCAGGCGCTACATGCAACAGCTCCAACACGTTTTTTGTCATCGCCGAGCAGCCACTTGCTCACGCCCCAAATAGCGGTAACACTGCGCGGGCTAATGATGTTGGCAGCCAAAGAAGTGGCTGCAGACCTTTTTTGTTGTTGTTACTGTTGTTGCTTTTGTTCCTATTGTTGTTGTTGTTTTTTTTGGTAATGCTGCTCGCGTTGTGGGTGATGATGATTGCTTCTGTAATTAGCATTTTTTGTTAGCCGTTCGCCTTGCCCAAACAACGAGTCTTGCATACGTTTAGGCGCTGAGCAGCGGCACTAGCTGCTCTCAGCCTTGTTTTAGCGCTCTTCCCACAGCCAAGCGTTCGATAGTGCGCTTTGTTAATGTGCAGCCATAAAAATGTGAGCTTTGAAAATATATATTTGGTAAAAAATTTTAATTGGCATTTTAATTAATATCCATTTACATTTCACATTTCGCATTTACATTCGCAATTGCGCAATGCGAAAATTTAATTAATTACACACTTGGAAATCAGTCAAATTGTCAGGCAACCAAGCCGTCAAATAACGGTGTTATTGCAGCAGCAGGCTAACTGCATCCAACAGCGACGGCTTCTATTTGCGGCCTAACTCAGCAATGCGAGTTCGGCTTCGTGATGTCAACGGTAAATACGAATATATATATGCAATTGTGTGTGTAAATACTTAGATGTGTGTGTGTATGGGTGTGTGGCAACATTGGTTTACAGCTAGCGGTGATGTGACCGCGGTGCATGCAATTCGAGTACATCGCTCGTCACTCGTCGCTCATCAGCACCGCATTAGTAGTTACCTACGAAGGCCTAGCGCACACACACACACACCCACTCCAAACGCATGGACAAATATTTGTTTGTTTGTTTGTATGCGTGTAAGTCATTGAGCGGCAAATGCGGTCGGCAATTCACTGCTAATCCAATCGCATTTACATATGTATGCCGAGTAGTAAACGTGTATTTGTACGCTCACCCAAAGGCATGTATAGAAGCGTGTCATAGCTGTGTTTGTGTGTGCGTTTGTGTGCAAACGCTGTTTACTGCTTATTTCGATGACAAATATGTTGCACACACATTAACCACTAATGAGTTGCTGCAAACACGCTCATAGTTATGCACTGGCAATTCACTTTGTACGTCTGCTGATTAATATCTAAATTTACCGCAATAATTTCATAAGTAGTGAGCGCACACTAGGCACCGCCGAAATTAGAATTTAACCCATAAAATATCGATATGAATTCGATGTTTGCTATATATGTGTTGAATATTTATGGAAAATTATTTGCATTCTCTTCAATACTAATTTGTTTCGAAGCTCATCGGGTATTGTCAAAAAATTGGGACAGTCGATTTTTAAAATTACTCTTGAGGCCAATTTTTTCCGAGCCAAATCATTCGCCATTGACAGGAACAGGTAGTAACCTCTTGGAACCAGCAATAGACTATAGATGGTTCATAAGAACCTCCCATCCGAGCTCCTGTAGCATCTGGCGAATCATTAGCGTTGTGTGTGGCCTAGCGTTGATCGAAGGCAATTCCTCTCCGATTGGCCAAAGTTACCAGCTTCAGAGCAATTGCTTCCCTCAAACGATCCAATTATTAAAAGCACAGGTCCGATTTTGAAATTTAGCTGCAGGGATGTAGCTCATATTGCATTATTTCCTGTCAATCTCACCGACCACATTGCAAATCCTTAAATTCGGTCCAAGAGTTTTTTTTACTTTCACTCGTGTGGCACTCATACATCGAGTTACTTTTTATATCCAGCCTTGTTAAAATTAGGATTTTGTACGCAATATTTAGCTCGCGGATATTGGAAACAGTGCTTACATGATGGTCGGCTTGGTCGATTTCCATTATTTTAACGATATTTTTGACAATTGGTCTTCCACAGAGTGGTGCTTAGAGTTCTAGAAGCAATACTCTTTTTGCTCAAAACTTTGTTTTTCAAAAAAGGTGGCGTTGATATGCCGAGACTGTAGCTCGTGTCAACTCAAAATTTGTGTAAATAATACAATACAAATTTGTTTATAAACAATTTACTGCCCATTTTTAGGTCACAACTTGAGGCTCCTTTTTCAAATCCCCCAACCTTACGTAAAGCTAACATGTATCTCCACTGAAAAACAACAATATATATAGCTTTATAATTTTCCCATTTTTAAAAGCTTACTTTATAATTATTATTTTGGAATTATTTCGTTGAGTTCCATTCTTTCTTATGATTTTAATTTATAAAAGAATTAAAATTATTATTAGTCTAATGTCATCATTATAATACCCAGGTTGATTGAAACAAAAATAAAAAAGAGAGTTGCCACCTGTTCGAAAATGTCTATCTAAGGAAATTAGTAACCTAAATATGTAAAACAGAATGAGTGCTATAGAAATGAGTTTACTCACGAATATAAATTTAATAAGGGTTGCCACCTGTTTGGAAAATCAATTTAATATAAATCGATATGGAAAAAATTACGAATACGTATAAGTGTGAAGCTAAACCTGTATAAAAAATGTGCATTCGAAAATATTTTTGGGAGGGTTGCCAACTGTTTGGAAATTTTGGTATAATTTAACTACACCGCCACCGGTTTATAGCAAAAGCTATGAAACTGAAGTAGTAATAATACATATATCAGATGATTTTTTACGCTTCATTATATTACCCAAATTGAATAAAATAAAAATAAAATAGAAGGCTGCCACCGGTTTGAAAAAATTTGTAATTTTAATACGTATAATAGAAAATTAAAATTCTATGGCCGTTGCCACCCCTCTGGATAATCTATTTATTTTTTGAAGGATTGCCACCTATTTGGAAATAATGATACCACTTCAGCATCATACTTTGCAATAGCTATCTAACTGAGGATATAATAAATATATCAGATTATATTGTATACTTTAATCCACTGTAACGGAGTTTTTAAAACATGGAGTTTATGAGTATCATTTTGAATATTTTTAATAATGCAATTATCGTAAAATTCTACATTTAATATCCGAATTATAAACCATAATATACAATATATGCTAATATACTCAGTTACATTTCTATCAAAATCTATAAATTTACATCTCATATCTAATCCCATGGCGTTGTTGATGCCATCGGCATAACGGTGTAATTTTCAGTTATCAACTCAACGGCGGTGGTCTCATTCGAAGCAGCCAACTCCTTAGAAATCCGCACTTGTTGCCCGGCCATATCGAATTGTATAAGTATAATCAGATAACTGGTTATTGCGCCACAAACCTATAAAACATATCAAAAATACGCATAAAAATATAACGGTTTCAGAAGGCATACGCATGCTGGAATAAAAGCTACTAAAAAATAGGGAAGCAATTGCAGAATATTGCTCGAAGGCACGTACCGCATATAAAGTACCCATGTCCAGCGCAAAAAATCCACATGCCGAGAAATTTATGGCGTGATTCAAGAGCTTCAATGACAAATGATTAACCTGAAATTACATGAGTCTCACGATAAAAAAAATATGAAGAGCAATTAAAGTCACAAAAAAGTAAGCACTGACAATTTCATAAACCTCATTGGTGTCAGCGGCAACGCCACACTTATGCAGGCAAATGCCGGCACGACGCGCTGCCTGTGACGTCTTCCAGCTGTAAAGCATCAACGACACGCATTTGCCGCCGATGTAGGTGAGAAACACGGTCGAGATGGAGCGCTCCTTGGCGGAGCGAAAAACGAGTGGGATGGTATGCTGTGAAAAAGAGCGTAAGAACTACTGTTAAATGGCAAAAAAGATAGCGTTACGTACGTCAATTTGCGTAGCGCAATAAACAAAGTAAAGTTGTGATGTAACGTTGACAAAACCGAAGGCCATCAGTATCAATATTGGATACGACCAAAGTTCGTTGAGCAACTTGGCAATCCTACAAGTGCTGTCGTGCAACTGACATAAGCTTATGAAACGTTCCTGTACAGCTTTGAATGTGCAAAGCGAGCTTTCATGGCTTATGCTGAGCATGCAGTTTTTAATCGGTTCGCGGTCGTGCAGTAAATCACCGAAAGCATTGCGCACCAGACGCTCCAATTTGATATCTTAAGCGACAAGACAACTTCTAAAATCATTTCTTTAAATTCCGAAGGAATTTTTCTATACATACCCTCGACCTGTTCCATGCGCAGTGGCAGTGATGTCTGCAGCACCAAATCGTTATTCTGACAGAGTTCACCCTTCAGCTGCCGTGTCTGTCCTTTCTCCAGATCTTCTGCTATCCTTTCCAGCTCTGCATTAATGGCGTCAAAACGATCTCTCAACCCCAACAAAATGCCTAGAAACCAAATTTTATCTAGTGTGTTATAGAATGTTGGAAGCGAGATAAAGATCCATAGCGTTGTGGTCCATTTCAATTCGTCAAGCAAAAACCAGATTGAAGAGAAAAATATAAAAAATTCACAGAAAAAAGTGAACGCGATCATCAGCCAAATGCCGCGCTGCACGCGTCGATTATCCACTGAAATACCCAACTGCCGAAGATCCTCGTCGACATAGTCGATGCGTTCGAAGAGTTCAGGTAGCCGCGTTTGATTACGTATAGCGGTTATCTGATCGGTGAACATGGTGGCGGGAGTAATATAGGTGAACACTACTGTGACGATAATACTTAGGTGATCTGGATTTATGCAATATACAAAAGAAATATATATACAATATACAAATATAGAAAGTCACATTTCTTTGAACTCACTATTCTTTGCTGTGACCTGTTCGTCGCCAAAGGTAAATATGGATAAGTTGAAGAGCATGAAGGTGATGCACATTACCGTCACCACCACGCAGCTGCCTAGGCGTGAGCCCTGCAGTATGCCTTGATAATAGAATTTTTGCAAATCATATGGATAAACGCCTAAAAGTTTGCAGAGATAATAAATTGAATTAAAGCTTTGCAAAAATGGCTGCGGGCGTCCATTGATTTCGGACATCTTCACTTGTGCCGTGTTAATTTTTTGTAGGTGTTGTGTGCTAATGCGCCAAAATGTAGACAGCAAATGACAGCTAGGTGCAAAACCTAGTAATTAGTAACAGCGCTGATGGGCGATTTCTTTTTAATTAATGGAAATTATTGAAGCACTGTGAGAAATTAGTTGGAGCATTGAAAAACTTATAGATATTAGGTTAGGAATAATATTGTCAATATATAATTAATGCTTTACAGAAATAAAAATATTTATTAAAAGGGGAAAAATTAAAGTTGTTATTATTGTAGAACCATAAAACTTTCCATTAGGCGATTTCCCCGTGAAAACCATTTCTTAATAATTTAGTTTTTTTTTTTTGACAGAAGTTGAACCCACTACCTGCGTGTAAAATGGACGCGATCGATCCCGAAGGCTAAAGATTCCATTTTCGAAGTAAGAAATATTTTTTTCCCCGTTGTTTCTCCTTCACTAGTACTCTTTATATATATGACCATATAGTAAACTTGGGAAGTCGTTTCGTTACAAATGTTGTTAGTTAAGAGAGGTGGAGAGAGAAAAAGATAAAAAAAATAAAAAGAAAGAAAGAGAGGGAGAGAAAAGAGAGAGTATTTCATGATCAAGAACTCAGCATCTCTTCATTTTCCCTTAATACTGTTTATCACAATCTTCAGATTGGAAGTTTCGGATCAATTGAAAACATAGAGTTGTTTGTGGTATTAGTCGAGCTTAACCAACTTAGAGCAATATCGAAATCAAGAAATTTCGGAATATAAACATTTTCGCATGTAATAATTTCTGAGTTCGATAAATTCTCGAAGAAAAACAAGGTTCTATGCCATCGTTTGACCCTAAGTCGTTATAAAACACAAGACACTTCATAACACATTAATTTTTTCTCACTCAGCCAGCACCTTCACAAGAAGCTAAGTAATAACTCTTGCATAAGAAATTTATTTCAGTGCACACGACTAGATACATATCGCTGAAAACCTCTTATAATAATTGCCAGCGATAAACGTGCCAATCCATTTGCCGTTCAACTACGAATATCTAAAATGCTTACTTACCATACCAACTAGTACAGCCGCGGGTATCAATTTACATATTATTGTTCATTCATAAAAAGAACGCATTTGTCATTGTTCGTGGCAAAAAGTGAAAGAAATTCTTATCGCTGTAGAAAAAATTAATCTATTTTATTAGAGTGCGGCGGCTATTCTATCCGCAGTCAGTGTGCATTTAAGTCAACAGGATGGTTGAAATTATATAAATACAAAATGAAAGCACTCTCGTCACAGGCGGTGATACGCCTACTGGGAGTGCAATAATAGAAAAAAATATGTATAGAGGAATAGTAGTAGCTTACAAGCTAAGCAAAAGAACTTCCGATACTAGTTCGTTTAGGTGGTGTACCTAATTCATACTTGTAGTTGGTGTATTGACGACTAATAATTTATTCAAATCGCCTATAACTAGTTACGAATTACTCACTAAGCGCATAGTTTGAAGTTTCGAAGGAAAGTTGATATAGTTAATAAATTTGTATATGTTTCAATTCAAAAATAAGAATTTTTATTTAATTATAATTTTGTTTTTATTTACAGTTATTTTACGAAATTTTACTCGCATACTGATTTTGATATATTCTATTTTATATTTTTCTCACTTCTGCAAAACTAGTTCCCGTTGTAATTATTTTTATAGGAGAATGCAACTAGTCCATTTACTGTTTACTTAGAATTTTCTCTAATATATAAATATTTACATACATACACATTTGTTTAATTTGTTGATTGTAGCTGCATTTATATTTGTTATTGACGTTAATGCATATCTCGATGCATTGGCAATCATTGGTATTGCGAAATTTATGAATTAGTGCATTATATAATATGACAGGAAAATTTCATACCCATTTTTATCGGCTTGCATTTGTGACATGTGTATGCTTTATGGTGTTATATTTTTATTGCAAAGCGATTTGTTTAATTAAGAGTTTGTGATTATCTTTTTTAATATCATTCATATTTGGCGGCATTGAAGCGTTTTTTATTAGAGAAATTACAATAATGAACATAAAAATTTAAAAGGTTTGAATTTCTTGTATTTCATTGTGTTAACTATAATGTTTAAATAATTTTTAATCAAAGCCGTTATTTGTGCAAAAAATAGAAGAGAAACTAGTATTAGAGCTAGGAAAAGTCATTAATAAAATTAATAGACTATTTTTAGTAGTTAGCTTAAGAATATGTTCAAAACAGCAAGTGTTTAGTTAGTTCAGAGGAGTTTGCAGCGGTAAACACACCCAAATATCTTATTATCTTCTATTATCTTCATTAGCAGCATACGTCTCAGAATCGGTAAACTCTCCTCTTAAAGGTTAAAATAGGCGCCAAAATTTTTGATATTTCGGAATACCGACCTGCAGCTAAAATGTAAGATTTCAATTTTTCTTGACAAGAAACTTCATTATCTGTTAGGCATTTGAGTTTATGATGGAAAAAGTAACAGATGTGGTATAAACTTGTTTATATAACCTCACAAGTAAGTTTTGTTCGTCAACTGTTAGATAGAGTCAGACATGGGTTTATATAAGCAAAATGACCAGGCAGACAAGACGAATGAATATCCGGATATACATCCATACGTTCCGCCATGTGTCATCGTCTGACTTCATGTTAAATAGAGATAGATATATGGTTATATAAACAAAATTGTCATAGAAGCGAGTCGTATGGTTTTCCGAAATCCGTCTATCTGTCCGTTCATATGGTCTCGTCTGTTAGATGGAGATACATGCGGGGTTATATAAGTAAATAAAGCAAGTTGACGAGACGAATTTATTTCCGAAAAACCTTCGTGTGTCTGTACTTCCACCATCCAACTTGCGGTGGGTTCGTCTGTTATTCATAAAAAAAAATTTGGTACACGCATTCCTTGGCCTTTGGGAATTAAGTAAGCATACCGTTAGTTAGATATAGATATATTATTATATAAGACAAATATTCAGAATGGCAAGGCAAATTTATTTACCGATATCCGTCAGTCCGGCCATTCATCCCCGTTGGTCTTTTCATCTCTCTTTTCGTGCGCCTTTTCTCTTTTCATCCATCGGCTAACCTCAGCCCGTTTGTCTGTCCTCCCTTGGTAAAATTTAAATAATAATAACATATAAGTTGCTTGGTCGTGGAACAATTTTGAAAAATTACCTAAATACGCTTTATTAATTGTACGTGCTTTTAGCCAAGGATGGATGAATTGGGTTAATATAATTTATATTATATATATGTGCACCAAAAAAGATTAAAAGCTGTAACAGTAGAAAAAAAATATATATAGTATATGTAAATATAAATTTGGCATTATCGAAGACTATTCTTCAAGCTCCGAATAATTCTTTAAGATCGGGCTACTATAGCATATAGCTGCCATACAAAATGAACAATCAACATCAAGTTCTTGTATGTGAAATTTTATATTTATGAAGGGTATTGTAGCTTCGTTTTAATCGAAGTTAACAATCTTTATGTTTGTTTTTTGTAAAATCTGTAATGCGCTTTCTTATTCAATATTTCCACAAAAATTATTTTATAAACTCATCTATAAACAACTGATTTATTAAGCTCATCCATTTGTCTATGTGTGTAAACTCATTGCAAGCGATTGCAATTACAAAGTCGCCATAAATTAGAAAACAAGAGCCGCTACAAGCCAGCTTTGTCAAATTACTTGATATCGAAAATCAACAATCATTAATTTAAATGGGACACAGCGCACACAAAGCCTCAGAATACACGGTCCTTATGCGCTATGCGGCAACAAACGCGGGTTGACTGTCTTACAGGAGTTTCCTTAAAAAAAAATTGTATGCTGAGGATTCAAAGATATCAATAATATGTTTGCGCGCGCTAAATGCATGTGCTGCTACTCGTGTGTGTGTGTGTGTATGGTTGTATGTGTGGACGTATGTATGCCTGTTATGATATGTAATATTATATGGGAATTTTACAATATGATAAATGGTTATTTACGTTATTTGCGACAACAATGCCTCCAATAACAATTTATGATGGTCGAAAGACAGCGGAACAAGCCGAACAAACGAGCTAAAATAGCACTTGAGCGGACAAGCTCTTTTTTATATATGTATGTGTGTGTGTTCAGAAGGTACTTGTTGGCGGCAGAAGGAGAGAATTCAGTAATAAATAATCTTATTTCATCAGCGCCATCGAATTACTCTCTCAGTGTACATAATAACGGTGCAGGGGGATGCGAATAACGAAAGAGCGGGCGGTACAAATGGGTGGACAGCAAAGAAAGTGGCATTCAAACGTACACACATACCTACACCACCACAAACACCTTATGAAGCAGCCAACAAAGCGTTGGTGAATTGGATATTTGAGGAGTGCAGGTCGAGATGCGGCCCCACTCGGAACAGCGAGCACTCGACAAGCGTGTAAGTGGAGAGCGCTTTGTGCGACCGTAGGCGTGTACGGAGAATGTCGGGCTGCCTGTTATTATGCTCGCCTGCTCAGTGTTGATTCTACAGCTATATATATGTGAGTGTGTGTGTGAGTTGATTGTAGCCAGCACGCCGCTGACTCTCTGCGGACTTATAGCCCTAGACACCGCTGCCACAGTAGTGCTTATTATTAGGCCTGTACACGCTGGCAAAGTAGAACATTAATTTTGCTGTCATTGTAAATCAGCAGTCAACGGAAAAAACGTGTTCGCTCATTGTGGGAGTTTAGAGGCGTGGTCGCCAACAAAGTAAACACTTTAAAAAGCGTAATGGTTTTGCATATCGCAAAGGATATTTAGCAACACACTCACACCGGCGCAGCTTGCAATACTCTTACACATACTTACGGACACTTAGAGACTCTACAGACTTACACATACATATATAGATATACAAGTATATATATATAGCAAAGATCTACAGACTTCCACGCATACATACACATAAGAAAACTAGTCAAAGGCCGCGTGGAACTGAGAAGATTCCCGTTGAAACGATTGAGAGGTGAAAAGCAGTTAACACAACCAAAAGTGTCGGACATCCACCTGACAGCGTATAACTGTTACACCTTTTGTTGTGGTTTACGTTGACGTTAAAAGCATCGCAACGCCCTACCCACCCACCTTCGTATAGCACACCACTTAGCTCATCTGCCGCAAAATTGTCTCGAAGGACATTACTGGGTAACGCAATTTATTTGTGCGAGGGACGCAAAGTTGCGGCG